TTCACACGCCACGCTATCGTTTTCAACCACTTCACCCTTTTGCTGGAAATGTTGATCAGAATCTACCATATTGTTACGCAGTCTTATCACAGTCTCTCTCTTGCCCCGTAAGATCCTTCTGTTCTCTCCCCGGTTCACGTATTTCACTCGACCCCTGCCACCCCATCTGTGCTACTCGAGGCTACTCCCACACTGCGTCTGGGTGACCAATTTGAGGCTCAAGCCTGTGAGTAAGGCTCATCGTCAAGCCTTTGCTACATGAACCACCTCTATGGTAAAAACAGACCTACTGCCAGCCAACTAGATCCAGTCTCCGCCACGTCTATCTTGTTTCTATCCGTACTACCAAGTCTATGACTTCTTATGCCCTAGTCTCTTGTGTGCCAACCCACAAATGTTGTGGTAGTGCTTGCTTTGATTAGGTTCAACGTCTGGGAATGTACCACGGACTATGTGCGTTCCTCTAAGTCTTCTGACCAATATGACCAAGTTGCGAAAACGAGGTCAAACAACCTCTAAACAACGAAAGGAGACGGCGAATTCACAAAAGGCAACACCATCTTGGTCTTAATACCTTGGATGAATATTATTTAATTTAATTTCAATTAATCTATTCTAATTTAATTAATTAAATTTTAAAATTTTACCTAGTTTAATTAGGTTCAACACTTAGTTGGCTTCCAGATTTACTTATTTCAACTAATGGGGAACTGGCTGAGCCATCGAATGGTTTAATATAATCTAGGCACAAATAGTGTGTAGGTAAAGTGCATGAACTGACATGAATGCAGCAATAGAAGTACTGAGTGACCTCTTTCATGGATGACATTTTAGGTAGCTCATCATAGAATAGAGGGTATGAGGAACAGTTTGGCAGTAAGAGTGGGCAAAATACAGATGTTATCATGGTCGGAAATTAAAGTATTTCGGTATTAGTATAAAATTAAGGCATATATACCAAGACCAAGATGTTGTGGCCACTATTTTGGTCACAGTCTCTGAAAATCATCATGCATACTTTGGTCTCCGAACTAGGTGCGTCCTCCAAATCTTCCTGCCAATATGATTATGTTGCGAAAACAAGGTCAAACAACTACTATACATCAAGGCATATGGTTTACAAGAAGAGAATTACTTAATCTTATACTACTAGTTCGGGAAAAAATAAGGCAATTATTGTGCCAATCAGAGTGATTCCCCTGATGGTCCTCATCTACATTACAAGAGGGTCTTTTCGATCAGAAAGGTCTGTAAAAGTGTCCGATTCTGGTAGATCGCGCAAAATAACTCGCTTGTGTCTTGTCCATGAGGCAGGTGCCCTGGCTAGAGAGTGGCATAATTGGGCGCAAAAATGGCCGGATAAAAGTACTCTTCAAGCCGTAGAGTGCCAAAAGTAAAATTAAGGCTTCTTTGAGGCTTGATTGATGGCCCATTCGTGTCGGTGTGGACCTACTCACTTGATGTGTTCCGCTGTACTCTAACAACATCCGACATGTGGGCAGGGAAAAGATAGAACACAATAAATTTGTTGACCCGAAATCAGGCCGGCTTCAAATTGTTCATAAAACACATTCAACAAGTCAAACCACCAGCTACTTGGTATTTGTTTTTAGCTTTCTGTCTTTTCGGCTCATTCCGGCCTGTTGTCGAGGGGAGCTGGAGGCGAGTCTGAGAATATAGTGGACATGGAAAAATAGCCATTCTGCCGGTCGCCTTCTGCCCTTAGTATCTTTCATTATTTGGAGAAGTAGGTTGCCATGCCGTCCACAATATGCGACAGAACGAGCGTGTGTTAATCAAGCACGCATGAAAGACAGGTGCGTTCTTTAATTGGGAATGCAGGCAATGACAATTACACTTTATTGAAAGACATGCAAATTGAATGTGTTCTGACCAGAAGATAGACACAAACTCTCAATCAGTAGTTTTAATGGGATGATTTATGGCACAAGCACTAGGACACCGGTTCTCTGAGGGATGAGCTTGTCCCTTTTCAATGTTGCAATTATAGAAAGCCGATTGAGGAAGAACCGCTAGACTCGGCTTTATCTCTTCTCCCACTCGTCTGCATGCGACACTATGAATCCACCTACGTTTTGCATACCTTGATTGATAAATGAAGGTAGCATTGTTCCAGTCATACTCGCAGATATGTTGTTATGGATAATAACAAGACATTATTGGAAGTCCCCTTGACCACTTCCTTATTCACTTCATTGTCATAGAGCAATCTCTGAGGAGCTTTCATCGTTTTTCAACGAGCCGTCTCTTAGGGGGACATCGCACGAACAAAGCGATAGAAAAAGTCCTAAATTCAATTTTGCATAACCTAA